TTTACGTTAGGGTCAAAGTGTTTACCACTTCCAGTAGGGATGTCGTCCCTAATCTTCTCTTTTTGTCCGTCGTTGGCCATCTATTCTCCTTTTTTTCCCACAGACAGCGCCAAATTGTGTGTGTTGATTTCTAACCACACTGCTAAACAGGTACTCAGCCGGAGAACACCGGCAAAAGAGCTTGCGCCTGAACAACTTATCACAGAAATATAAGACTCCGACGGTTGTTCGTCCATCCGGGGGCACTCCGACGATTAAGTCAGTACTCAATTATCTCTCAAAGATAGCAAACAGTGCTTAACCCACTAGCCAAGATACAGAAAGCGTACCTTAGACCCATGAGGGTGCCTTTCTTTTATAGCTTGCATTAATTTGGTCCTTGTAGAAGCCTAGCTTCAATGGACTCTAGCTCAATGCCTATCTTGGACCCCCAGTTAGATAAAGATAAACTCCCTAAGAGATTTATCTTTATCCAGACTGAAGTGCTCCCTTATTCTAGGATTCTTGATCCTTATCCGTTCATCTTGAATTCCGGTATCTCCGCAAATAACCTCGGCCTAGCCGAGATCACCTCGGCACCATGACCAGGACACGTGGCATCTCGACTGGAGCTTTGGTGCTACCTTGGCCACGTGTTGTCATTTACAAAAATATGCCCCCACACCTTGGAACCCCAATTAATCTGGTCCTCATACTTGCAATCTGCAACGTAGTGCGCCAATGCCAATACTTGTTGGGCCTGGATGGGCTTCCTTACAACATGGTCCGGCCTCAATTCGAGGATTTCGGGTGCCAGAAAAGATAATGGGCCTCCAAAAAAGACTCGGCGAGAGAAAAAACATCCAATCCCAACATAATTTGGGCCTAGCAGGCTGTCCAGTCCCACAGGATTGATTTGGAACAAGCTTTTAAACTCACAAGCATAAATATCGTCCTTGTTGAGCGCATGAAAGATCTGAGGAAATTGAGCATACCCTAAATTGGGCCTAAGTTTAGGGTTTGAGAAGAAACATAACATGCGGTGAGGCGTTTGGGGATCATTGGAATACATGTCACAATCTAGGGTCAGGACTATAGGAGCATTTGTCATGATTGTTGATACTCGAACCTTCAAAAATAAATAAATAAACTTAAAATTAAAAAAACATTATCAATAACTTATTTATTTATTATTTATGGATAAATTACAAATGCATATTTTGAAATTTACTTAATATAGTATGAAGGCACCTGGTTAAGTTTGATATATGTTTTTGCAGATTTTGTTGAGGGAATAGTTGATATGATCGAGCGGGTGATGTTGGGAGCCAAAGATTAAGTTGCTCTTTTTTTTTTTTTTTGAAGACTTGAATTTTTTAGTACAGTGTATTTAAGGATGGTTAATGGATAATGTCTATTATAAATTTAATTAATTTGTTAATTTTGTTATTTTTCATTAACAAAAAATTGTTTGGTGCTTGTAATTGATTTTTTTGTTGTAGCAAATCCGTATATGATTTTTTTTTAAGAAGTAATTATTTGCGACAGTAAAACAATGGTCGCTAAAAGTGTTTTTTATTTTTTAATTTTTTTTTGCGACGGCAAAATAGCTGTCGCAAAAAGTAGTTTAGGTGGTCGCAAATAATTTGCGACCGTTGCTTTGCCGTCGCAAAAAGTATTTGCCACCCCCACATTTGCGTCCCCCATTTGCGGTCGCATAGGCCGTCGCAAAAAGTCTTTTGCGACAGTATTTTTATTATTTGCGACGGCTTGTGGCGGTCGCAAAAAGTATTTTTTTTAGTAGTGAAGTAAATACTAAGGTAGATTTTGCCATATCTAATCATGCTATGTAAGAGAAAATCTTACGCACATAGAAAGGCCAACTTGATTTGAGAATCGCAGAAGTTGTAACAAGTGACAGTGTAATTGGTAGTAGGATCAATGAAGCAACTGCCTCCTCTTGAGCAATTTTCACATAGAATTTTGGCCCACGAAAGCTCAAATCCAGGGGCTAACTGTGCGTGGAATTCCATGAAGTTACTGGAAAAGTAATAATTTGCTGCTGCTGCTGCTGTTGTTGGAGGTAAAGGCGACCACAAGGTAGCTGCAACTATCTCATCTATTCTGCACAGATCAGCCACATCTGATGCTCTCAAGTTTCCAAACAGGAAGTAAGAGTAGTAATGGGTATGCGAAGAAGACTTATTAATACAACTAGTATAAGTAGTACTACTAGTGTTCATGTACAGTGGAGAATTCACTGGATTTTCACATTCCACCAGCACTGCTACAGCTTCAAGACAGGGAAACTCCCATTGGAACTCATCTGGATTATATGAACCATATGAATTATAATCATCATAAGAAAAAGCAGGACCAGTAAAGTTTTCAAAGGATAAAGAATAAAGAGGGAGGGAGGAGCAACTTCCATTTTGAATGCCCATATCCACGACTCGGATTGTGTAGTTGTTGTAGTTGATTGCCTGCACATAGTAGTATTTAGGATCACCCGCAGATGATAAGTCAAGCAGTGGACGATTGTTGGGGCAGGCCAGTTCATATCTCTTGTTTCCGCAATTTTCTGGGTCACCTTCATATCGAAATGGGTATCTGATGTTTTGAATGTTCCCACAAGAAGAAGAATCACAGTTCCTATCACTTGTTCTTAAAGCATCACAATTCACTAAAACCAGGACAAACAGAAGAATGAAGAAAAGAAGCCTAGACATGGATGGATATCATCGATGATGGAAGGGAAGGGAAGAGAAGGGAAGGGAAATCATATCTGAGTGAGTCTGTTTGCAGTTGCCCAAATCCCCTTGTTGTGGCTAGTAATTTCAAGGCTTGTGTTATAATATTATATTAAAGGGCTAAGGAAAAATATCAAAAAAATAAAAAATAAATAAAAAAATAAAAAAATTGTAAACTGGATTGTAAGGATTAGTTTAGTTTTCTCAATGGGTCCTAATCAAACCGTTTAAATATATATATTTTGTTAATAATACCCCCAACTACTTGATTAATATGCCCACCACATATACACAAGTTATTAATAACTTTCTGCAACTTATGTTACCTAAAAAAGTATCCAAATTTAAGAAAAGTAGACTTAGGCTTGTAATTAGTGGTAAAATATCGATTTAATTCAAATGACCATAAATCTATGGAGGAGGTAACTACTGTGGATCACCTCCAAAAATTTGCCACTTGAAATTGACGATTTAGATTTGATTATTCTCATATTTAATATGCAAGCTGCTCCAGTTTTTCTTACAGATAATGATGCTCTTCCAGATTCGTTTGACAATCAAACCAAGCAAATCTCAGAGGCCATCAAAACCTCTGATCTATTGAGTGCCAACCAACTTCTAGAATCAATATGTAATCAATACACGTTTCATTATTGTGTTGCTGTGTTGCTGCTTCAGGAGCTTGGCATTTTTTGTACACAAGGGATGACCGATGGGACAATCGGTGGGACGTCTGGCTTGTTGTCCAGTGGGACCCACCTCTAACGTAAACGCACAGTGTTTTGGTAAAATCTGCCAAGCTCCTCAATTTGGTGAAATTTTTGGGCGGTTCTCATTTTGATATTAGTTTGATGAAACTGTTGGAGCCAAAAAAGTAATTTTTTCACCAAATTCAAATTTGGTGATGGTTTTGTTTAACCGTTGGAGATAGTCTAATGGGTCTGGTATGTCTGTCCTATCTATTGGATTTGTCTTACCCTCTCCCATGTCTACTGTTACTATTCCCTCTATTCTTTATGTTCCTCAACTATCTTTTAGCTTGTTTTCTATTAGTCAACTTGATGTTTTTGGTTTTGATGTTATCTTTTCTTCTTCTGTCTGTTGTGTGTAGGATCGGGAGTCCAAGAAGCAGATTGGGACCAGTTGTATAGTTGGAGATCTTTATGTGGTGGAAAGCCTACGTCTACCTCCCCTGTTGCACTTTTATCTTTTCAGTTAGATTCTCAGTCGAGTCAACCAAAAAAGGAAATACAAGAATGAGACCAAAAAAAGGAGATACATTCATCACAATTATGCCTAATATATACAATGCCTAATATATACGAATATATTCTCACACCCTCACTCAAACTCAAGGTGTTATAGTCGAAAACACAGAGAGTTTGGCAAGAAGAAACCGAAAACGAGCAGTGGTGTGAGTCTTGGTGAAGAAGTCAGCAAGCTGTAGAGCCGAAGGAACAAAAAGAAGTGAGATAGAGCCAGACTGGAGGTGCTGACAGACGAAGTGACAATCAATCTCAATGTGCTTTGTTTGTTCATGGAAAATAGTGTTGTGGGCAATCTAAATAGCACTTCGGTTGTCACAGTAGAGAGAGGCCAGAGAGGACTGAGGAACGCCCAAGTCAAAGAGGAGACAACGAAGCCAAATAACCTCAGCAATAGCATGAGCCATAGCATAGTACTCAGCTTCGGTAGTAGAACTGGCAACAACGGTTTGTTTCTTGCTTTTCCAAGAAATCAAGGAATCACCAAGAAATAGACAGAAACCAGAAGTGGACTTACGATCAGTCACATCACCAGCCCAATCAGCATCAGCATAAGCCATCAAATCCAAGGAAGAAGTAGAAGACAATAACAAGTCTTGGAGGATAGTATCGCGAAGATAGCGAAGAATCTGAACCAAAACAGCCCAATACAGAGAGCAAGGAGTAGAAACGAACTGGCTAATCACATGAACAACATAGGCAAGATCAGGGTGAGTAACTGTCAGATAGACTAAGCAGCCCACAAACTCGTGATACAAAGTAGGATCATCCAGGGAGACACCATCAGTAGTGTTAAGCTTCACATTAAGCTCAATGGGGGTATCATAAATCTTAGTGTCAGTAAGACTGGCACGGTGAATAATCTCATTGGCATATTTGGCCTGAGACAGAAAGTAGCCCTTGGGAGAAGAAGCAACTTCAATACCAAAAAAATACCGCAATGGTCCCAGATCCTTCATTTCGAAGGTGCAGAAGAGATCTTGCTTGACCTTAGAGATAACAGAAGATTCAAAACCAGTGATGATCATCTCATCCACATAGAGTATGAGAGTAACAAAACCAGCCGAGGTATGTCTTAGAAACAAAGCAGAGTTGGAAGCAGAAGGATGAGACCTAAGCTCGGTAATAGTAGTCTGAAAGCGATCATACCAAGCACGAGGATATTGTTTCAAACCATACAGAGCACGCCGAAGATTACAAACTTGCCCAGAGAAGTGGAGAAGGTCAGGGGGAGGACGCATGTAGACCTCCTCAGTGAGATGACCGTTAAGAAAAGCATTCTTTACGTCCATCCGATAGAGAGGCCAATGTCAAATAGCAGTAACAGAAATCAAGGTACGAACAGTAGTCATCTTGGCAACAAGGGCAAATGTCTCCTCATAATCAATACTATACTCCTGTGAGAAACCCTAGGCAACGAAGCGAGCTTTGTAGCGCTTGAGAGAACCATCAGAATGAGTCTTGACTTTATAGACCCATTTACAACCAACCAGATTCTTGCCAGCAGGCAAAGGAACCAAATCTCAAGGGTTTCTCACAGGAGTATAGTATTGATTATGAGGAAACATTTGCCCCTGTTGCCAAAATGACTACTGTTCGTACTTTGATTTCTGTTGTTGCAGTTCGACATTGGCCTCTCTATCAGATGGACGTAAAGAATGCTTTTCTTAACATTCATCTCACTGAGGAGGTCTATATGCATCCTTCCCCTGGCCTTCTCCACTCCTTTGGGTAGGTTTGTCATCTTCGACATGCTCTGTGTGGTTTGAAGCAATCTCCTTGTGCTTGGTATGATCGCTTTCAGACTGCTGTTACTGAGCTTGGGTTTCATCCTTCTTCTTCTGACTCTGCTTTGTTTCTAAGACATACCTCGGCTGGTTTTGTTGCTCTCCTACTCTATGTGGATGATATGATCATCATTGGCTCTAAATCTTCTGCTATCTCTAAGGTCAAGCAAGATCTCTTCCGCACTTTTGAAATGAAGGATCTGGGACTATTGCGGTATTTTCTTGGTATTGAAGTCGCTTCTTCTCCCAAGGGCTACTTTCTGTCTCAGGCCAAATATGCCAATGAGATTATTCACTGTGCCAGTCTTACTGACACTAAGATTTCTGATACCCCCATTGAGCTTAATGTGAAGCTTAACACTATTGATGGTATCCCCTTGGATGATCCTACTTTGCATCGCAAGCTTGTGGGCTGCTTAGTCTATCTGATAGTTACTTGCTTTGATCTTGCCTATGTTGTTCATGTGGTTAGCTAGTTCGTTTCTACTCCCCGCTCTCCGCATTGGGCTGCTTTGGTTCGAATTCTTCGCTATTTTCGCGGTACTATCCTCCAAGTCATGTTGTTGTCTTCTACTTCTTCCTTGGATTTGGTGGCTTATGTTGATGCTGATTGGGCTGGTGATGTGACTAATTGTAAATCCATTTCTGATTTTTGTCTGTTTCTTGGTGATTCCTTGATTTCTTGGAAAAGCAAGAAACAAACTGTTGTTGCTTGTTCTACTGCTAAAGCTAAGTACCGTGCTATGGCTCATGCTATTGTTGAAGTTGTCTGGCTTCGTTGTCTCCTCTCTGACTTGGGCGTTCCTCAGTCCTCTCCGACCTCTCTTTACTGTGACAACCGAAGTGCTATTTAGATTGCCCACAACATTGTTTTCCATGAACGAACAAAGCACATTGAGTTTGATTGTCACTTCGTTCGTCAGCACCTCCAGTCTGCCTCTATCTCGCTTCCTTTTGTTCTTTCGGCTTTACAGCTTGCTGACTTCTTCACCAAGACTCACACCACTATTCGTTTTCGGTTTCTTCTTGCCAAACTCTTCATGTTTTCGACTAAAATACCTTGAGTTTGAGTGGGGGTGTGAGAATATATTCGTATATATTAGGCATTGTATATATTAGGCATGATTGTAATGACTGTATTTCCTTTTTTGGGTCCCATTCTTGTATTTCCTTTTTTGATTATTTGTTAGGGTTATATAAACTAGTCTTGATGTAATTGATATACAAGTTGAATATACATAAATATTCAGAAACTTACACTATATACTCTTACATCTTATCAAATAATACGTCTGGTGTACCAGCTTTCAAATAGTTTTGCTTGCATTTGCTATTATTGTAAAAGGAGTTGTCCAACAATTAGTTCTCACAAAAACAAAAATAAAAACCTTTCTAGCTGTACATCTCAGACCATGACTAACCATTATACAATCTTCGAACAAGAATTGTCTTACTTATAAACATAGAATGAAACACTGAAACAAACAAAAAATTAGATTGATCATTAGATTAATGCATAAAGAGGTTCACCATGCCACTTCTTTTCTTCTAACCCTTCTCAGACTTTCCTTACTAATGTCAATGATCTAGTTGTGCTTAGTCCAAAAGGCCAGCCACAGCATACTCTCTCATCACTAATATTTATTTTAAGATTTTGTTTGGGGCAAAAAAAAACTCAGGACTAGTGGTCCTAAATGTGTGCCAGAGTGTTCAATCAGTTTTTAGATTTTTTTTTAAAAAACTCCAATACACTTTGAACATAATATTTCATATTATTTAAGTTTGGACAAAATAACTTGAAAATCAATAATAAAATAAAACTAATAGAGATTTATAAGTATTAATCTATATTCAAAGTTTAGAAATAAATGTTATATTTATAAGCTTTGAGTGAATATTATTCATATATAAATAAAATAAATAATACATATGTAAAATTATATACTTTATATGTATCCCTAATGTATTGTGTCCCTGATTGTTCGTGTCAGGTCGCTTGTCATATTTCTGTGATTAATATTTCTGTCATCACCAAATTTGCCTCGGCTCGGGAACTTGGGTACGAGAGGGGAAGGTCCTGAAATGAGTACCCCCACTCGCCCGAACAAAGATCGGCCTCTACTAATCATGATATATTGTTTTATAAACACATGTGTTCTTATCCGGTTATTAGCTAACTTTATTATGTGACGCACACACAAGTATAGACTAAGATTGCGAGAATTGGAACAACTCAATTCATGTTTGCTTTCGAAAATGTTTGAAAATGCCATCCTCAAGTGGGCTAAAGCGCGGATTTGCCATCAAACATGATGGGCTTAAAATATGATGATTTGCCACTTCGCAAAGTGGGCTTAAAACTTGCATTTATCCAATTGTCCCAATTCAAGCAATAAAGCCGTCATCCACAGGCATTCATGCAGCTTATCATTTAAGCAAATAGCCTCATGGCAAACATGCTAAATATGGCAACACTCACACTTATGCAAGTATGCTAAAGTGTAAAACTTACAGTGTACTCCGAGCCAAAACAAAAGCTAGTTAGAAATATGCATGATCCTAACCATACAAAATGCCTAATGCAACACATGCAAAAAATGAAACTAATAGGCTCGGCTACCTAATCATGGTATTTGCAACACTTTGATAGTATGTTTTAAAACACGTATTCAAGAAAGTGTATTGAAATTGCGATGCAGTTTGAATGATGCGCCGAGCCTCGGTGCATGCAAGACAAATGAATGATGCAAATACGCAAGTATAAGGTATGCTAATCAAAATGTGCCCTAATCTAACCATCGAAAGCAGGTAAATAAAAGGGAGAAAGATGTGGGGTTGGAAGACATGCACACATACATGCACGCTTCTTATAACATTGTGCCCTCTCGAAGGAGGGTCCGAATAAATAAGCTAAGCTAATCTAAGCTAAGTTAATTATTACAAAACAACTAATTAACTATTCTAAGCTAATTAATTATTACAAACCAGATTGAATCTAATAATTAGCTATGCTAACTAGTTAAAGCAATAAAATGGCTTCGCGGGTGAGGGATACATGCATGCTCGGTTGGCTTCTTCCCAAAAAATCCACCGCCTTGCCTTTGGATGCCTCTGTTTGCACTTTGCTTTGATCTCCGAACCTTACAGCAATTAACAGACTACCTTGGCTCCAAAACAGGAACACTTTGAACAACTCTTCAACTGGTGGCCGGTCGGCTACCATAGATGGCTGTCGGCCACTACCACTGGCCAGTCGACCACTATTGGTGGCTGTCGGCCACCCTTTCTCTAGAATTCTCTTTTTTGCTGCAATGGAGAGAAAACAGAGGCAAAGCAGTGTATTCTTCAAGGAATGTGTGTACTGCCACCTCCTTATCATGTCTTAAGCTCAAAGGAGTATGGCACTTGGCTCTCAAGCTACCAATCAGGCACTTTCATGCATGATGACCAAAGAACCAAGCTTGTACAAGCTTAGTGAATGCGCACATAAGACTCAAATGGCCACCACCCTATCATGCATGATCAAGGATGACGGCGACTAAGAAATGTGATACGTTTTATCACTTTGAGTATAAAATGTCTCACTTTTCTTGTGTTTGGATTAATGTCCAATCCAAACACATGCAATGTAAACAACATGCTTATCTTGCTCAAGTTTTACTTGATCCAATTTTATTTACACATTTTAAATTACCAAGCTATTCTTTAGTTGGTTAAGTCCAATGTGAAAGTCCTCTGATAAGAGAGGGGTCAACCAAAGGATGGTTTAAGACATGAGTGAGTTCATGCCTTGGGCTAGGAGGAACCCTCAAAGAGAGTTAAAGCCATTGAGCACAATCTTTATCTCAAGCTTAAACACAACCCTAAGGCTAACCAACCCTCAAAACAAATAGAAAAATGAAGAAATGAGGGGGGTTGTAGAATTTCAGTGCTGAAATGACATGACAAATAATGCTAAAACATGCAAGCAACACATGCATAACATGTTAAGGGCCAACAACATTGAAACTAGTGAAGAGCACGACACTAGAGGCATGCAATATCAAACTCAAATGGCCAAAACAGCTCTGGACAGAGCTAAATCATGTCAAAACAATGACTACAACATGCTGAAATGGCAGCATAAATGGCAAGAAAAGCATGCTCACTTGTTGGCTCACAAATAAGATACAAAGCACAACTCTCAAAAGCCATGAAAGAGTGAAACATGTGAAAGTGTGACTGAGTTATATGTGCTGAAATCACATGCAAAACAATGCTACATCATGTAATCAACTCAAGCAAAGCATATTAGAGGCCTTCAAACACAAAGCTAGCGAAGCCAACTACACTATAGCCATGCAAAGCAAAGCACATATGACCAAAACCACTCAAAATAGAGTTAAAACATGTCAAAACATTGACAAAAATGTGCTGGAGTTAAGCTAACACAAGCTAGAACAATAGGCTAAATCATCAAATATGCTAGGCTAGTAAGCATGATTGCACTACAAGTACAAAAAGCAAGCAACAAGTGACCTAACTAGCCAAAAATTGAGTTAAAGCAGGTCAAAATAAAGCCAAAAACATGCTTGAACTAAGCTACAAAAAGGTAAAAAAGCATGCTCACATCTTAAACCACCAACACATGTAAACAAGATACAAGGAGGAGAGGCCACCCCCTCCTATTTTGGACCTCAAAACCAACTTTTTACCACTGATATTCCCCTGTAATTCAGTGGTTAAAAGGCCAAGAAAAGAGTGTTTTAAAAGCTTTGAAAGATAGCTCAAAAGGCTTTACAAGCCAAAGAGCAAAGGGATGAAACCACCCCCTAACCAAACAAGACTCAAACCACCATTTTAAGACCTTAAAAATAGAGGTATTTAGTTGAAATGCAAAGGTGGCCAAGTAATGAATTAAAACAAAGCTTTAAAAAAGGGGATAAGGCTTTACCCTTGAAGCACAGCAGTAAACAGGTCTTCTTCTGAGCCAAAACCAGCTTTAGGTGCTCCAAACAAGCCTTAAGGAACCTCAGCTCCAAGATAGGGATATTTGATCAAGGGTCGCTTTGTAAATATTTATAGAAAACTCACTTTCAAGCACAAAATATATATATATAGAGAATTCTAGAGAGAGAGAGAGAGAGAATTTTTGCTCACAAAATTTCTGAACTCTCAAAATGTGGGAGAGACCCCCCATTATCTAGAAAAACAAGCCAAAATCTTGGCTTTATCCTTCCATACACGTGTATGGAGGATACACTTAGTGATCAACAGCTGGCACCAACTGGCAAATAAATATCTGAAAAAGGAGAAAAATGGCCGTCGACCATCATTAGTGACCGACCGGCCACACATGTGGCCGATCGGCCACCACTGATGGTCAATCGGCCACCACTGATGGCCGGCAGGCACAAGCCATGGCCGATGGACACTGGAGATGGCCGACAAGCCACCCTCTCCTCCAGATTCAAAGCAACAAGCTCTCGGTCCACAATCAAGCATAAAACAGACAATATGAGAGGCTCCAAGGCAAGGCGCTCAGCCGAGACCTTTAGAGACTCAAAACGAACACGAGCGAGCATAATCACCGGGTGTTCAAACGATGACGTTCAAGTCTTGAGGACGGTAAAAAATGGGGTGTCTACAATCCTCATTCTCTTTTAATTCATATTTTCTATATTTTAAGTTTGTGTTTTTAACTATGAGTAGCTAAGCATGTTGCTAAGGTAATAAGGAGTGAAGCCACAAGAAGTGTTTGATGTTTGCCATCTATTCTTCATGGTTTAATGTAAGGTTTTATTTTATTTGGTTGGTTATTTTATTTGGATTTATTTTTATTTTTATTTTGTATAATTCTTTGATTTATTGTTTACTTTGGGTACAATGAATGCTTAGA